CTGTTGCCCAGGCTGGAGTGCAGTGGTGTAATTTCAGCTCACTGCAACCTCTACCTCCTGGGTTCAAGTGATTCTCCTGCCTCAGCCTCCTGAGTAGCTGGGATTACAGGTGCACACCACCACACCTGGCTAATTTTTGTATTAGAGATGGGGTTTCACCTTGTTTGTCAGACTGGTCTCGAACTCCTGACCTCTTGATCCGCCCACCTCAGCCTCCCAAAGTGCTGGGATTATAAGCATGAGCCACTGTGCCCAGCCATTTCCTCTGCTTTTTGGATGAGGAAATTGCAGTGGGGGATAAGGGCACAGTGAAGAATATGCCAGAGTTTTAAAACAAAGTTGAGATTCACACCAAGTTCTATAGCTCCGAGATTAATGCTTTTAACCAGAAATTCATGCTAACTTTATAAACTAGCTTTTCAACCTATGCTAAGTTCTAGAAGAGGTGATATAAAAATAAGAATTATCTATTCTTTGGAAATCACAAAAAACTCATTAAAAGAAAACATCAGTTTTAAAAATAGAATATTTAAAATGAAAAAAATAGGGCAGGTACGGTGGCTCACACCTTAATCCCAGCATTTTGGGAGGCCGAAGCAGGAAGATGGCTTGAGGCCAGGAGTTTGAAATCAGCCTGCGTAACACAGTGAGACCCCCATCTCCACAAAAATTTTAAAAACTGGTCAGGTGTGATGGTGCACCCTTATAGTCCTAGCTACTCAGGAGTCTGAGGCAGGAGGATTGCTTATGCCTAGGAGTTTGAGGTTGCAGTAAGCTGTGATCTTACCACTGCACTCCATCCTGGGCAACAGAGCGAGACCCTGTCTCTATAAAACAACTAAACAAATTAAAAAAAAATGAGGTGAAGAAATAAAGAGGTAATGGCTTGTTAATTGAATAAACATCTTTCTATTTACACGTGGCTATTTCTACTTAAAAGAATGAAGCCTTTAATTTGATAAATATTCTTAGGAAAAGATGTGAATCATTACTCTCAACCTCATTCATCACCATGTTCTATCTGTCTCTTACTATTGTTCTGTCTCCAAATACATTGCAAACCACTCTCTTTATTTTCATAAGCCATCATTCTTAAGGTAGGCTGCTACCACACAAGACTGGACTATTGCATGGCCTTTCTGTTGGTTCTGCCACACTTTCTTGTACCACTTGTGATCATTCTGTACACAGCAACTGGAAAGACTTATTTTCTGTGGATTTACTATTTTACAACTGAGTGCTGCCAACAAAGTAGCTTAATTATAAAATATTCAGCTGTATAAAATAATGCATAATGCTTAATTAAAAATGGAAAGCATAATTTTTGAAAAATAAACACTTGAACATAACATAGGATCCTACAAAAAGGCATTAAGCCAAGTGGTTTTTAATTTGCTTATGCTGACATTTCTCCTTTTTTCGTTTTTTTTTTTTTTTTTTTTTTTTAGCCACTTGTTTTTTTTTTTTTTTTTTTTTTTTTTTTGTTTCCAGCGGAATGCTATTATTTTCCCAAGTCACTCTTCCCAACAGAAAAAAACTAAAATGTACTAAATGAACTCTAATTCCAGTAATTTCATGAAAAATCACAACAAGCTCCATTTTCTAGAGATTTCCCTAGCAGAGAGAGGTGACGTTAAGTACATTGTGAGCACCTTGATGTATTTGCTCTTAATAATCTTTTCTCTCTAGGGCTTAGCAGTATGAGTGGTGTATATTAAATGCTCAATAAATATATCTTAAACACTATTAAATGAGTACAACATTAAATATTTTGTAAGAGAATCTAAAATTTTTTGAGTCATAAACTGGATGCTCCGATAGAGTGCTTCTGTATTTCAATTATATAATCGTGATTTTTTTTCTTTTCTTTTCTAAAACTGTGAGTTTTGAGCTCTCTGAGGTATGCATTTTCTTTTTCATTCTTGACAGCTAATTTGCAATACTTTCCACTGGTCACATACTTGCCCTTTTATCTAAAATGTCAAGTTTCTCAAAGTTTACCTTGAAGCATGACCAAAGACTGTCGAAGTCGGCTGTTTTCTTTCCGAGTGTTTGTTAGTTTTTCTTTCAGGCTTTTTATTTTGGCGCACAATTCTTCCTTTGACAATTCTGCTAAAGGCTCCTCATCCTCACTGGAGCTTTCACCAGGCAGAAAGGCATTTCCTGAATATGGGTCTCTCTAAAATAGAAGGCAGGCACAACAAAAGAAGCCTCATAGCATCTTTAATGGTTTATCCCAGGTTAACCATTGCATGTTGTTGGGACTTCATCAGACCCACGAATTTCTTGTTCTCACAAGCACCTCCTGCTATTGAGCATGATGTGAATGTGCTGGGGGCGCCCCACAACCCTGCTCCCCCGACATCCACCGTGATCCACATCCGCAGCGAGACCTCGGTGCCTGACCATATCATCTGGTCCCTGTTCAACACCCTTTTCGTGAACTCCTGCTGCCTGGACTTCATAGTGTTCGCCTACTCCGTGAAGTCTAGGGACAGGAAGATGGTTGGCGATCTGACCGGGGCCCAGGCCTATGCCTCCACCGCCAAGTGCCTGAACGTCTGGGCCCTGATCGTGGGCATCATCATGACCATTCTGCTTATCATCATCCCAATACTAATTTTGCATGACTATCAATAGATCAAGAGGAATCATCTCGGCCAGGGAACCTGCTCTGCCCGTGACCCGTCTCCCACATACTCAGCCTTCCATTCCTCGTCTGCTCTGGAGCTGAGTCCTGTATCCTCCCTTTATCCTCACACACTTTTCTACAGTGGCATTCAATAAAGTGCACGTGTTCCTGGTTAAAAAAAAAGAAAGTAAAAACTAAAAAAAAAAAACAAAAAACCTCCAGAAAGTAAAATTTTATAGCTTCTCTTGACAGTTTCCAATCCCTAGAGCCTAAATATTCTGTACTTACATTTAAATCCTGAGAACAGATGTCTTTAATACACAACAAAAGATGTGCAAGATCTTTAAGAGGGAAGCAAAAAAAAAAAAAATTGACTGAAAGATAATCTAAATTAATGTAGAGAGAATCATGTTCAAAGATAAGA